GGTTTCGAATCTTGCTGGCGCCCTCTTGTGATCACGCCCACTTACAGCGAATCTATATAACAGTAGGGGACGATCGTCATACTTGAGGAGCTAGTCAGCGACAGTTTTACAGTTGGGTGGCGATTTCGCTTTCAAATATACTGTAGGAAAATGTTTTACATTTACTATTTACATTTTGTAGTTTCAAGCAGTGTTCAAGATGGCTACCCCCATATAATATCGGTGAAATAATCACATTTATTATATTATCACTTGTACGCCAGCTTGACTGGTTATTTTCAGGCCCAAACCGGGGGCTCAAATTACTCAGGGGAATCCAGACATGTACCAGGCTGCATAAAAAGCATTCTATGTTCCCTACTGCAATATAGACTCGCCCAGAGTGGACGCGATACAAGTCGGCGCCAGCGAGATGCGAAAGCCAATCGTTTAGTCAAAACCCAAGCAGTTCGCAAATTCGCTAGCGAGTTGCAAATTGGCTGCCCCAATATTTCTGAGACTTGCTGTAAATGCAACAAATTTGAGCAGTTGTTTGGCTGAAATTATACTAAGCATCTTTAAAATAATTACAGCTTTATTATGTGAAAGGTGACACAATTTAATTTAGGCTTTCAAAGGTTAACACAAAAGTTCATTGGATAACAACCTTTTCATGCGGACACAACAGTTTCTCAGAAATGTTGTCTCGCTGGACAACTAGATCATTTTTCAAATTTGGGCCCTTGTAAGAACATGATGATTGGCAAAGGGGGGTATACATATTAGTTACTAAGGAGACCATACCTGCTTGAAGAAGCTTGATACTGTCAGAGTGACTGGTCTAAATGTAGCCAGGTTTGAAACATCTTCTTCTATTCTTGGTCTTCTTTCAGATCCATTCCGTTTGAGAGATCCAGTACTGTCTGACTTTCTAGGTAAGGATCCAGTATCGCCAGGTTTACCTCTGCGTAAACTTCCAGTGTCGTAACCACTGCTTGCACTACTAGCACGGCGATCTGCATAAAATGGGACCAAGACAATCAGGTAGCAATTAAAGAGTTGTGGTCATCGTGCACGAGATGTGGGTCTCATATAAACATAAAGATGGCATAAATAAAGATGAATAAAGATGGCAACTTTGACTGTTGCGCAGACCAATGAGTACAAACTGAGATGTTACTAAGCTTGAACTTTATAATTTCTTCGATGATTGGAAGGTATCGAAGGAGTCATCGATGGTAATTAGTGCAAGTCACACCCAGGTCAAAACTCATACTCATAATTTTCATTAGAAGAGCGCATTGGATTGTGGGAAAATCAATGTTTATCAATACAAATGTCGCACATGCGTGGCACTACGACCACTGCCCTTTAAAGCGAACCTCAATGCGGCCTTAATTTATAGATGTGTATATTCTAAACTGTATTTGAAATACAATTGCAGTGGTTTAATTTTGTTTTAATTATAACTGTAGCTTGGATAGGCATTTGAAGTACTTACAATTAAACACCATAGAAGTCATTCATGGAAGGGAATAAATAACGAACAAGCATATTTAACATCCGAGTACTTTTCAAAGCTATGACGTTTTAGTATCTGATCACATTCGTATACGCCATTGTACATAGCCGCTCATGCTGCCAAGCATTTAGTACTACTAGTATAAAGTCAACTTTTATATTTAGAGCATTATGTGTTTAAACCACAGTATTCTGACAGTGGGAGCCAAATTGCATTAAAGTACCGTACTTCCCCGACCATAAGCACCTCCTGAGTATGAAGCCCATCCCTCTAATTTTAGGCATTTATCGAGTTGAGGGCATTCACGACTATAAGCCCAGAGTGTGTTTTACTGGGTGTCGACGACATTCTTTAAAATATGCCTTCAAAAATTGAGTTTCATTTCATAATAATCGTGATTGCTACGGTAGTTTGGTTTGTGATTATATTAGAAAAATCGCATTAATTTCAGAGTGCATGGCGGGCGAACGTACAACGTGGTTCGCATCCTTTCTATTCTGTCATTTACTCAGGGTGAACACCGATGTTGCAATACTGAAGTAATCCATATTTCTTTGAGTAGTAGCTTTCGTGTACCTGGTTATTGGGCATGGTTTAGTTTGAGACTACCATGAAAGGGTGTGAACGATGTGACCTGTTGGCGACCGTGAAAGGTGTTTAAATACTTCCTCCATACTCAGTTTACCCACGGTTACTATTAATCGTCGTTACCTTTCGGAAATTGTGAATCAACAGTTTTTAGGAAAAAAAATTGCCGTTTTTTTCGTCGCAATCAGTGCTACAGATCGCATTTTAACATTGCGGTAATTCACTTCCGCGTTGCGTTAAAAAAAATCATTGTCAATAATCGGAAAATTTTGTTATTACAACATCATTTTGATTGGTTAATGAAAGACATGAACTGTTACGTCAAAGGAAGTTGTTTCGGGTCAAATCGTGCTGAAAAACTTCATGGTGAAAATTGTTTAGTGCCAAGAGTTTGCCTACGATCGATGGCATACCAAAACGAAGATAATGATAAATGCCTTTGTCCACTGTTTTCCCACAGACCCTACCCATTATTACACCGTAAATTCAGACGGTATGTAAATCGTATTGTATTAAAATGTGTGTGTTTTTATGAACATGTTTGTTTCTTCATTGTAAAAGTGTCGTGAACATCAATGACGCAATTTTCCGAGCCCGGCATGGTAAACGAATATTTTTTTTCCGATAATTTTTCGTTGTTGGCAAGATGTTTACAGTGTTTAATCCAAAAACAAAATCATCTTTTCTGAGGTGGTCCTCCGGGCTTAGGATCAAGAAAGTACGGTAGACTGAAGATTCAGATCAATCCAGTGTGAGTGATGAGAGTCTATCGGACGTCGACGAAGATAGTTTTATCTCAAATTACGCTGAAGTCTATAAACAATCTGTTCCTGTGATAATTGTCCCATTAATTTGCCAGTGCAGCCCTGTGAATACATGAAGGAATTTTTCTTTCCACCACCAGCCTACGAACTCAAAATTGCATACAGCATACAGACACGGAAACAATTTGCACGCATGGAGCAGTACTGGAAACAGCTTTTATTAGACAGTTGGACAAAATAGAAAACAAAATGCCTGTTTCAATCATTCGCACATCCATAATATTTGCTTGTTGATACGCTTGTAAATAACATTAACGTAAAAGTCGAAACTCTGGAGGCAGAAAGTCAATTCATCAATCCAGCCAACTATGACTCCCTAAGTTGTATATATATAATCAGATACTATTTCGTCATCGTGCTTTGTTGCCTTTCCTGTTTATACCTCATGCGGGAGTTTTTTTATGGCAAGATGGCGCAAACGGAAGTCCTTCACAGTTTCATGGTTTCTCATAATTAAATCATCATAACTCTGAAAATAATTTTTTTTTAAAAACATTTTCGAACTTATAATCAATATACATAACTTGATAAATACAAACACCAAATTAGGCTCTATTTAGTTTCCCTTTAAGTGTAAATTATTGTAAAAGGGCGATTTAGAAAGGTTTTCAGTTTACATAGGGATCGGTTTAGACATAATTCCAGTTTATACAGGGATCAGTGTAAAAAGATTTCCAGTTTCTACAGGGTTCAGTTTTACAGGTTTCCAATTTACAAAAGGTTTAGTTTTTACAGGTTTCCAATTTACAAAAAGGTCAGATTAATTATATACAGATTTTTAGTTTACACAGGGTTCAGTTTAGACAAGGTTCAATTGAGACAGGGTTCAAGTTTAGACAGGATTAAGCTTACACGGTTCAGTTTAAACAAGTTATTATATATTCACCTTCCTTATTGAAGTCCTTTTCTGATATGAGTGGATCACGGTCCAAAGTACCAGCCCCATTCACAATATTCATCAGATGGATTGCAGTCCAAGCAAAAGGCATTCGATATTTACCAAGTTTCTCACAGTAATATTTAGCATTTGCTTTATTTTTTTCTTGTTGCTGAGAAAGGAAAAAATAGAGATATTATTAAATGTACTGCTACAATGAAGAAACTAATGACATAGAGACAGATGGGTTAAATCAAATCTGTGGTAACCAGGTTATAGATTAGCCATAAACAACCAGGAGACTGGACTTCCATACTTGTTATACATCACCAGATGAGATCGTTTTTTCCCATTCTATTTGGCTATCTGTCTTACAGCAGGCAATGTATCAACGAAAGTCATGTTAGAGACTGCAGTTGTAATAATTAAGCCAATGAAACATATTTTGCATCAAAATATTATTTTCATACAAGAAATACAGAACACAGCCTTTTCCTTACCTTTAGAGTATCGTCTTTGATATAGGGTTCAGCACACTCACTTATATCGCCTTGTTGTAAAACCTTTTCTAACTTTACTACTAAGAACACATCACTTGAGGGATATGTTATTGAGAATATACAGGACCGACAAACAGTGACAATGTCTGGATAGGTCACATGAGGCTTCAACATAGCACGTAAATGATCTGAGTTTAAGTCAAAGTAGAAGTTTTCTGAGATCTGAAAATGAAAACCGATGAATATTACAATATGAAAGTAACATTTAAAGTGAAATCCAAGTTCACTTTCCTACTTAGAATTTAATTTCTAAATTTTGTCTGTGTCGCTTAACCATATCATTCACATAATTTGGGATGGATGAAGTTGTTGTTTTCAAATTTCCTTCAACATTATACAGCGTCTACCTATCAAACATCAAGCCTGGACTGTCCAGCATTTGATAAGCTCAAATTGTGAACATGTGCTCATTGTTCCAAAAACATGTGGTAGATGCTGATGTATTTAAATTGCACTCAGAGATCATTAATGTAGCTGTTTTATTTGGATCTATGAATGGGATGAATTAGAATATGCCAGAATTGCAAGGGAATATTGGAGGATTCACCTATACTGAAAAAATTAGTACATACACAATCGTACATGTAATCCTGTAATTTAGGATGAATTCCGATGTCAGTACGTCAAAATATACTAATATGCTCTTTAAATAATGTATATGCTTACAAAAATGACAGAGGTGTATTTATGGTCAAAATAAGTCATATTTTAATTATTTAATATATACCAATTGCAAGG